GGGAGACGATAGTTTTACATTTAACACAAATCTATGACAGCTATTGAGATGAACTGTGTCATTTTCTTTAAATCATTTGTGCCATTATTTTTCAAAATAAAACCAAAAAATTCATTTTCTCTTTCTTCTTTTCTGAAACATTAGGTTATGAAACGTTTTTTTTTTAATTATTTTTACGGAAGAAGAGCTTACGGGTCTCATTCCAGAAGATGAATACAAGTAAAAAATGTGCACTGAAACGAAAAAAAATGAGCAGTTGAAAATAAAAAAGTGAAAAAATACGCATTTAAAAAAAAATTGTGTATTCAAAATCAAAACAAAAAATTGTTCATTTAAAATCCAAACAAAATAACCATTTGAAATCAAATAAAAAAAATTGTACATTTAAAATCAAAACAATAATTGTACATTTAAAATCCAAACAAAAAACGTTCATTTAAAATCCAAACAAAAATATGTATTTAAAATCAAAAAAAAAATTTGTGCATTTAAAATCAAAACAAGAAATGCGCGTTTAAAGTCAAATCAAAAATATGTATTTAAATTCAAAACAAAAAAGTGCATTTAAAATCAAACAAAATTTTGCATTTAATATCAAAACAAAAAATAAGTATTTAAAATCAAAACAAATAATGTACATTTAAAATCAAAACAAGAAATATGCATTTAAGATAAAAACGAAACAATGTTCATTCAAAATATGTGCATTTAAAATTAAAACAAAAATATGCATTTAAACTCAGAACAAAAATGTACAATTAAAAACAAAAAAATGTGCATTTAAAATCAAAACCCAAAATTTACATGTAAAATAAAAAGAAAAAATGTGCATTTAAAATCAAAAGAAAACATGTACATTTAAAACCAGAACAAAAAATGTTCGTTTCAAAGTAAAACAATAAATGTGCATTTAAAATAAAAACAAAGAATGTGCATTATAAATCAACAAAAAATTGTGCATTTAAAATCAAAATAAAAATAAATGTTTACATCGAATGGTAATATACCTAATGAAACTTAATGTTATGAAATTATCAAATTAAAAAAATCAAAAATCAAGAATCTTTAAAATTTAATATATTAACACTAATTTGAACATCTCATTTAGCACATACTCTTTATTTTGTGGTACCATGCTAGCAAAGAAACTGATTTATGTACAGACGAGGTTCCTCTATTCTCTTCTAAATGGTACAAAAGTGACTGTAACACCAGTCCTGAGATTCTGTGAAGTAACGAAGCAACTTTCAAAGACTGATGAATGCAAAATAGACTTAAGGGAGCCCAAAGAATATATCGGCCAAAACGTTCGTGCTAAAATCTTGATGAGCAAGATTATAGTTTAAAATATATAAAATATATAAAATATATGAAATAATAAAATATTTATATTTCAAATTTATGAGACAATATTGGAAGTCAGAAGACTGTATCAACCAAAACCTTGTACAATATACAACAAATATATTATGGAAAATGAATATACCTTGTCTCAGAACTTGAGACAATACCGGATTTCAGAGAATATTTCCGACGAAATATTATGTTCAAAACAACAGAGATAATATGACTAGTCATGAAGATGAACAGGCGAGTGAGATTTTAGTTTAATTTAGAAAGAACTTCAAGAAACTCGGTTGTAACCATTTCCAAGAAAACTCTATTTGCGTGCAAACTGTTTGATCAGATAGAAGGCATGAAGAAAATCTTTTATGCCAACACGTTTCGTTCCTTGGGGAGTTTTATCAAGTTAAGTGCAGAAATTTTATTTAGAAATCTGTATTTATACTCAGAACTAAAGTGGAGAAAAAGTAACGTCAAGCTTCTAAATTAGAATTCATTGATTTCTTTTTACAGTTTAACCTTTTTGGATTATTCAAAAATTGTAAGAATATTTTTTTGAGGGAATATTGCATAAACAATTTTTAAGAATGACAAATTTTACTGATACAAGTCCTACTATTTAATTAATAGTTGGTGTGGGTGGGAGATGGTGTTTAGAAATTCATACGCAATGGTAATTGTGCATAAGGGAATATAACAAACCCAACTTGAATTAGAACACTCCTTGCTTTGAACATCTTTTGGGACTGAAGTTCACCCTAAATCTCAAATAGAACGACCCATCGAGAAAAATGCTGGAAATATGGTCGGCACCTTGTACCGCTTCAGAAAGTACCAAACTCCTTTTGCCATGCTTTATCTTTACCAGAGTGAAATCAGACCCCAAATGGATTATTGTCGCCAAATCTGGGCAGGAGTTTCCCAAACCTCACTTTCCACCATTGACAGTGTTCAAAATACGCTTTGTTGGGAATTACTTATGTTCTACCATACAGTTTCTTTCCCAAACACGCAACGCCACAAGCCTATCTTTGCTTCCATGGAAAATGTTCGAACGAGCCTCATTTCTTAGTTCAGGCCTTCACAGCTAGGACACCCTTTGCCACATAAACAGGGATGCCTTAAATATTCCGACAAGCTCCATTCTTTAGTACCACCAGCTCAAACTTTTAGAGCTAAAACACAATTTACTCCGGCCATATTCTCTACATAATCCTTCCCACTCTGAAAACCTCTTCTGACTCCTAAGAGGATGCTTCCCTGAAGTGAACATATCTACTGCTATTGAAAAGGGAAAAAAACAACAACAAATAAATAGTACATAAAGTTTCAGTGTTTAGACGGAAATGTTAGATGTATAAAATTGAAGTAAACAGGAGTTCGAACCGGTCGATTTTATTTGAGGATAAAATGGAATGACTTTAGATTATTTAATTGAAGTATGAGATTTAGCCATTTCATTTGCTTCAGACTTGCTATAGAATTTTGTGTTTATTGTTAAAACGTACATTTTTGTTCGATATTTGCTATAAAACTTTAATTTTAGTTTCGTTACTTTAAAATTTATTTCACATTTTTCATTCAAAGTTAATTTAATATTTTTTCAATAAATTTAATATTACTCATGTTTTTTTATTAATTATTTAATTTAGAAAAGCAAATACACTAATGATAAATTTATTATTATTATTTTTTGCATAATATATATTTCTGATTTAAAAATGTAAAAGATATGTTGAATTTTTACCACGATTCTGATGACGTAAACTAATAAAATTTTTCACCACAAAATTAAAAAGAAAAAAAAAAAAACACCTGAAGATAAAGAAAGGAAGAATACTCTTACCGCTAAATCCTCAATTTTGCTTGATTTTAAAAATAATTTATTAATCTGATTTTCTTTCTAGACTTTCTTCTAACAAATGTTACAAAAATTTTTTCAAGCATTTCAATTTTAATAATTTGTTATGCTTAATTTTTAATAACATTTCTTCGGAAGACTTTTTTCTCCAATCTGTTTTAACACTGCGAAATTTATGTAAAAATGTTATTATTTGTCATATAAAGTTCATTTAATAGTTTTGTCTATGTTATATCATAGATAAAAATATTAAATATTAAATAAAATGGCATAAAATACATTTTAAAAATGGAAAAAAACGCATTACTCATAAAACGTTACATGTTGTCGTCCATATAATTATAATGATAAATATATGGATGAAAAAAATTTAATGTTTTATGAGTAATTTCTGTTTTTCTTTCTAAAAGTTATTTTAGAAAAATAATATGTTGAATTTTAGTTTAGTCTACCATTAAAAACATAAAATAAAGGCGCATATAAGTAATGAAAAAAAAAACATTTATTCATAAAGATCTTTAACATTTTTTAACTTCTGAAAATTTCTGAAATTCAAATATTTTGAAATCGTCTCAGTCCTTAGTTGCACCATGAGTTGACTTGTAATATAGAACACTAGAATGTTAAATGGATATAAAAATAAAAATAACGAAAAAATATAAGCAGCAAATTGTTGGTATCTCTGAAGAGTGTACAGACAGATCCGCCTAAGAAACTCTGGAGTGGGGATGCGGAAAGTAACATCAATCAGCTAAGGGACAAACTTTTACTTACATTAATCCTATTAATGCTCTATCTTTGACTTGCCTTAAATGTATTTTATCTTAATTTAATATCCCATTCATTGGGGTTCATACTATTTTTGACACACACACACACACACACACACACACACACACACACACACACACACACACACATATATATATATATATAGATACACCTAGTGAGTGAGAAAAAACCTATTTAGGTTTTCACCCTAAACGGATCGTCAGGAAAGTTTGTCAAAGTCAAACTTTCCCTGACGATCCGTTTAGGTGAAACCTAGGTAGGTTTGTCTGGCTCACTAGGTGTATCTAGGTCTGCTCTACGGTTGTATTGAGCTCTTTTTTGTTAGTTGTTACTCGTATCAGGGGGTTTTTTTTTGGGCTTCAGACCTGCATCTGTGTGATTTTTTTTGTCGGCAGAAGTTCATGTTTGTAGCTCTTTCTTTTTTTAAAACCTTTTTTTCCCTCGAGATTGATTTGATTATTAGCAAATCAAAAATTCGAGGGTTTTTCGAAACGAGTCTAGTCTATATATATATATATATATATATATATATATATATATATATATATATATATATATATATATATATACTACAGTTTAAATGTTAAGGGCTTGGAAATTTCTTTTTAAATTGGCCCCAAAAGTAGTAGTTGTGTCCTTGAAATAGGAGAAAATTATAGATGGTTAAAAAAGTGAGACATGATTTTTTATTAGAAATTTTATTATGAAAAAAAAAGCATTTTATGATTAAATTTTTCTCTCGTCAAAATATCCTCCTTTAGCCTTGATTACTGCAGCACAAATTTTTGGCATTCGTTGCAACATTTTCTCAAAGTATAAGTTTGATTATTGATTCCATTATTTTTCAAATGACTCTAAGAGCTCTTTTTCATATATTTTTTCTCTCTACTGTCAAGTTCATCGCATAGACATTCTGGAGGTCGCTTCAAATTTTTGAACTGTAGTGTATACATATATATATATTGAAAGAGAGAGAGACACACACACAGACACAGACAGACAATCAGACAGACATAGAAGACAGACAGACAAGCGAGAGAGAGAGAGAGAGAGAGAGAGAGAGAGAGAGGGAGTGAGAGAGAGAATCAAAAGTAGTTTTTGTCTCCTTTTGAGTGGATTTCAGAATCTGCGAAATTCTGAGCAGAGATAAATAATTTTTTATTTATTTATTTATTTTTAGTAATTATTATTATTATTATTATTTTCGAATATGGATGTACAGAGATTAAATAAATTACTGTTGAAGACGCATCGGTTAATATCTTTTTAATTAAATTAATGTCTTTTCAGTTCAAGATTTTCTAATGTTGGTCCGCTTTACTGAATGTTTCATTTGGTCAGACAAGGTGAAAGCAAGATATCAGTTTCACGAAGAAGATAAAATTGACGCTTGTGTTGGACTTGTTTTCTTATTTCTTTTACGTCTTTCTGTTTACATTGAAACACGGTGTCACTGCTACAGTATAGCAGTTAAAAAGCTAATGCCACAGTCTCTTACTACAATCACGTGTACGATCGTCACTGTTTGAACATCCCTACTAAATTGGATTCAGGCCTTACCTTCTTTTTACTACTTTTTTCTCCTTTAAAAACATGAGTGATTACGGCTCTCTATAACTGCCTATCCTTTGTACGTCTTAACGGGAATCCCAAAATACTTATGTCTTCTTTGTTTTCTTTTTATGTGCCATGTCCTTTCAGGACGTGGGCGATCATAGCTCCCCACCTCCCTCTATCCCTTGCAGCTCTCAACAAGTTCCTACCCTCTGCTACCTCCCTCAGATTACGTTCTGTCATTCAAGCCCGCCAGGTTAAGTCAAGCGTTGTTTTCCCTTGTCTCTCTTTCCCTCTATTCGACCCGTGAGTATCAAATTCTCCAGGCCCTTCTTTCTCATTATGTGTCCCAGAAACCTCAGCTGCCTCTTCCTGATGTTAAGTATAAGCTTCCTCCTTGTTTGCTACCTCACCAAGACCTCATCGATGCTCAGACGCTCGGTCCATGATATCCTTAGCATCCTTCTGTAGAACCACACCTCCGTCGCCTCGAGTCTCTTCTTCATCTTTGAAGAAATCGTCCAACATTCGCCGCCGTAAAGAAGGACGTATGTCACGCAACAGCTCAGTATTCTTTTCTTTGTTACCAAAGAAATCCTCCTCTCGTAATACTCTGCCCAGCTTTTGGAGTGCGTCCTTGGCCATTCCAGTACGTCTACGGATCGTACTTACCGTTCTCTGTCAAGACGCTTCCCAGATATTTAAAGTTCCGCGCCTGCTTGATTCTAGTGTTCCCGACCTGCAAATTGCATTTCGGGCTCTTCCTCTTACTGATGACCATGCATTCTGTTCTCTTGTAGTTTATGCTTAGTCCCTTCTTCACACTCTCCGTCGCTATCTTCTGTAGGAGATTTTGTAATTTCTTTTCCGTGTCTGCTATCAGTACTCTGTCATTTCTTTATCTTATGTTGTTAAGATTGTGACCGCCAATGCTAAATCCCGGTAGGGTTTCCAATTCTGTCAGAATTGCTCGCTGTATAGGTTGAACAGGTCGGGTGAGAAGACGCATCCTTGCCTTACGCCCCTTTCTGTTGTTGTATAGTCAACTCGTTCCCTGTGCTTATGCATGCTGTTTGCTGCCAGTATAGGTTCTTGATTAGTCTGATATCTTTCCTGAATATATCAAGGTTTATGAGCAGTTCCATCAGATCCTTGTGGCGTATTTTTTCGAAGGCCTTTGTGTCGTCTATAAAACATAGGTACACGTCCTTCTGCATTTGTATCGAGTTCGCCACGATTTACGCTTATTTCTTAGGTTTATTTATTTATTTAGTTCTACTAGAGTTTACCAAATAAAAGCCCCAGAAGTCATTCAACGTAGAAGTTTACTGCATAAGGTCGGGTAATAAGCGGAAGAATTTGAAAGTGAACATTGCGAAGATATGACAGATAACGATTGTCACTAAACATGAAGAGATAAAGATTGGACATATCTACTGTTACCTGTCTTTGGAACAGGAGTAAAAGCTTATCCATTTATCCTGTTTAAGATTGGGATTCCGCTTCGAGTAGCTTTTGTTCCTTGTACAGGGTGAATATCGTTATAAAAAAAAGTGTAAAAGCATAAATTACTTAAGCAGGCAATAGCCCCGAAATGCTGCAAACCTAAATAGACATAAAAATGAGTACCTCTCTATGGAACAAGAGAGGTACTCATTTATAGGTCTTCCATTCTGTGAAAGGTTAAAGGTGAGCATCCCGATATCTTTAACGTTTTCGTTGTACAATTATAATCATGTTGTATATATTTATCAGCTGGAGGAGAACCTCCAGCTGATAAATATATAATACTGATTCATTGATAAAACCATTATTAATCTGGAGAAACGCATTATCCGTAAGTTTTTTAATCCTTTTATCATGCCGTTACCAGTATATATATATATATATATATATATATATATATATATATATATATATATATATATATGTGTGCGTGTGTGTGTGTGTGTGTGTGCCATTTATATATATATATATATATATATATTATATAAATGGCACACACACACATATATATATATATAGGTATGTGTGTGCCATTTTATATATATATATATATTATATAAATGGTACAACACACACACACACACACACACACACACACACACACACACACACACACACACACATATATATATATATATATATATATATATATATATATGAAAAGATTACTTAAAAGATTATATATATATATCTTAAATATCAAATTCATCCTGACTTCGAAGTTTCTTGGTAAAATTTCCAGTCTTCAGGGGATAATATATATATGATATTACCAATAGGAACAAATGGAAAAAATAAAAAATAAAAATAATGGAAATATCGTTCAAAAACCAGAACCCCAGACTGGAAATTTTACCAAGAAACTTCGAGTTCGGGATAAAATTGATATTTAAAAGTTATGTAATTCATATAATATTATTAACGCTCTATTTTTAATATTATTTTAATATTTTTAATAATGATCATTATATATAAAAGTATCTGCCGTTTCTTATATATATATATATATATATATATATATATATATATATATATATATATATATATATATATATATTGTTATTATTATTATTATTATATTGGTATCCGTCGGTCTCGAGAGATCATTGATCTACGCCCGAAGGGTTATGCCCTCTCCAGGGTGCAGGACTGGCCATCGACATTGTCCAAAGGAAAGGCGGAGGTCAATACAGGTCGGCACCGGCATCGTCGCAGGAGTTACCAGAACGAAACTGAACCCGACATTGGACTGTCCGAGGGACACCGGCTCCGGATTTGAATTCAGATTTGTCCTTCTCCTAGCCTGGTGGCCAACCATGGCTACAGAACCCAGACTACCCCTACTATTTACCCATACTTATATATGTTTTGAACAATAAAAAATATTGAGAAATTAAAAAATTAACATTTTCAGACACACTGGGTTGTATATTAATATTTTTTCTTTTTATTATTTCAATTTTATTCCTCGACTAGTTTCGGCCAGCGTGCCCATCATCAGGAGAAAAAAAAACAATTCTGCTTGTTAATAGCAGTGAACTACAGGAATGAGTGACTTTCTAACGAAAATGAACTTTATATATGTTGTTTTTATTTGTTTTTTATCGTTAATTTTGGTCAGCCCTTGTGTTGGTCAAACGGCCACTTTTAAGCTGTTTTAAGGCTGGATAGATTCATACTACTCTGAATTCCCTTGGTCATTTTGACAGTTTTGTTGGTTCCTGGGACGGGGATGTATCTGTGTTAAAAATAAATATAAAACGTCTTAAAAACAAGTAACGTTCATTGGTTTCCAATGAAACCCGCATAAAGGAAACATTGCTACTCAAATATATTCGTTTTCCTTCCAGTCACCAATTCCGCTCCTGTAGCCACGAGAAAAACACACGAATCCTCATGTCCGAAGCAAAAATTCTAAATACATAATATACGAATCTAGCAAAGCAATTCGTTTGTGCAGCTGTTTCGATCTCTGTTACCATTATATTGATTTTTGTTATTTTCCTAAATCTTTTTATTTGCTCCCTTTCTCTAAACCCTGAACCCTGGCTTTGTATTGTCAATTCTCGTACGTATAGGAGCGTTTCACGAGAACTGTTAACCACTGAGTTTGTTTGTCACTGTGTGCTTCTTTATAGTGACATCTCGGTAATCTAGGTCAAGATATAATTTCTAGTATCTAAGTATTAGCAGACGTTCGTGCCCGATGTTCATTGTTAATATAAAATGGCCGCAACTTGGCACATATGTTTGTTTTGCTGGCGATTTCTGGTGTGTTTTAGATTGAAACGTTGCTTCGTTCAGTTGCGAGTCAGACTTCGCCCAAAATGAATGTCTTTAAGATGGAGGTTTAAAAAGTTGCATTTTCGCCCTATTATGCTCGATGAATTTCAGAAAGAAGTAAATATCAGAACTGCGACAAAAACATTCACAATGTTTATTTGGATCGTCTTCCATCTCCTCGGTCCATCAAAAAGTGGTCTGGCAGATTTCGACAAGGAGATTTTTTGACTAAACGGTCAACCACACTCTGTGCGAGCTTCCGATGTCGAGGAAGAAGCTCTGCTTGGCATCGTGCTTGTCAAAAGAATAAACCGAAGATATTGAAAATCACATCTCAACTGCCTTTCGCCATTTGAAGAGACTTGGATTCAAGAAAAACGACCGATTTTGGCAAATTTTCCACCACGACTATACAAGATTGAGTGTTGCTAAAGAGACCTTGAAGAATATTAAAGAGTTGAAACCCTCCAGTACACACCGTATTCTTCTTACTTGGATCCAGATTTTCATTTGTTCGTTTACAGAAAAATTTAAATGACCAAAGACTTGCTTCTCTACAGTCAGTTGAAAATTACCTCACAATCTTCATCCAACAAAAACCAAACAAAAATGGCATCAAACATCTTGTAAAACGGCAGAAAACATTTAAGAATGTGTACTTGAGTAATAATGTTTTTTTTTTTCAGTACTTAAAATTTTGTTTTTCATGTTCTAACCGGCCACGGAATCTTGTAATGATCTAAAGGTTTTAGATTTAATTTTAGGAAATTTTTCCCCGACTGCAAAAAATATT